CTGAAGAGCTGATGATCCCAGGTTCGAATCCAGCAGTGGTAAAACAAATTTTTCACATATGATATTTTAAGTATAAGATAACATTAAGAAATTAGAAGGTACTACTACTGATGTAGAGAGAATAAAAATATCTTAACAAATAAAAAATTTATTTTTATTTTTTTGTTTTGCAAGTTCTTCACTGTCTAGCCCCGGCTAGATAAGTACGAGTTATGGGTTTTTAGGTAGCCGCTAGATAATTTTTCGCGCCTAATTACTAGCAGAAATGAGCGTTACATTAGGATGCGATTAATATTCAATGTATAAAATTGGGTAAATATTATTATGTAATATTGGTCCAATATTATCAAACAATATTAGCCCAATATTGCATTAGATATATTGGCTTAATAACAGACGATATCCACTTTACCATATTTAACCAATATTGGAGCAGCAATACATAACCAATGTTTAACATTGGATATTCATTTTTTTCCAATATTGGTTCAATGTAAATTGCTACTAGGGTAGGGTTTCCGTTTTTCCGTCTGTAATTCCGCTAAGGGATATTATATCTCTCTCGTCTACAGGAATGTCTGGTGTTACTTGGCTTGATGAGATTTGGTGCGGCACCCGTGTCCACCATGAATTTAGAATCTTTTGATAAGCCTTCAGCGGATAATGTTATTGTGGGTGCATGCCGAAAGTCGTTCGGGCTTAGGACCGCGATTCGGAAGGTTCGGTTTCTGCGCTGGTCGTGGCTATCGCTCTCACTTGTCGGGACGCTTCTCGTGAGGCTCCCGCTCGGGGGTTGTTCCAGATTCCCGAGGGGCGCGGTCCCGTTTCCCAATTGCTGCCGAGAGTTGTTGTATTGGCGCTTCCTGCACTCATCTATCTCGTGTCCGTCCTTTTTACAGTATCTACAGAATTTAGTCCTTCCTGGATTTCCTATTTCACGGGAACTATCATTTTGAGGGGGGTTTAATCCCTGTGGTCTATAGTTGTTCCCTTGCCTGTTGCCGACTGGGTTTGAGAAACGGTATGGTGAGTCCCTATCATTGGGATACCTATTGTTAAACCGTCCCGGGGGCGTATCGCTTTTGATCGGAGTTGAGTGTGCTAAGGGTCTCCCGGTGCTGTAGACGGGTCGTTCATAATGTCTCTCGGAGCGTCGTGTGCTGTCGTATCGTTCGTTGTCGAGTTCTTGTCTTTTAGCTAGGCTCTTAGCGTGCGAAAAAGCAGCGAACGGGTCGGTATAGTGTTCCAATGAGAGCTGAAGTCGATAGGTGAGGGGTAGGCCCTCGCAGAATGATCGCGCTGTTAGATTATTCACGTTTTTTACCGTTTCCTGTTTTGTCGATCCCTCCGCTCGGCGTTCCTCATCTAAGATCGCGGTACGAAGATCTTTTACTCGCGTGATGTAGTCGAGCATATGCTCCTGTGGTTTAAGAAAAACGGTACTTAAATCTCCGCGATATTGGTCGATCGTTCTAGGTGAGCCGAATGCTCCATTTAATAAGTCCGCAAGTTGGGTCACCGATTCGCAAATTTCATCATCTACGGCGCTTGCAGCGCGCCCGCGCAATTTCGTCAAGATCAGGCGGGTTAAGTTTCTTTCTGAGAATTGGGGTACTATCTCCTTTGCGCGTCTACACGCCCAACTGAATTGAGTGACTGGGATATTCCGCCCGTCGAAATGAGGTATAGGTTGTCACGCTCTTTCCTGCTCTATTCGTCGGGCGCGACGAAGAAAGAGGCGGCTTACGCGAATGATACGCGGCCGTCGCCGTTCCGGGCGAATCTCCGGAACGGGCGCTAAAACGGCCAAGTTGGGCGCCAGACGCGCTCGCGGGCGGCGTCAATTACTTGTCGCGAAACACACCAGCTCCCCGGATGGAAACGGCGCCGATCCGCTCGGTTAACGCCGCTATTTAGCCTCCTCGACGCGAAAGGGGCCGGCTGCTCTCTACCGTCGGCAGAGTGGCGGGGTCCCGTAATTACGGGCCCGCGGGAACGGGACGTCGGGACGGGACGCGACACACACACACGCACAGACGAACACTCTAAAATAATCGTGACTCGGGTTAAGAGAGTAGAATAAACGATTTAATAGGTCGGATACAGAAACGAAGAGAAAAGAATCGGCAAGGGGCCTCCGCCGAGGCGAACTCGCGATCCGTCGGTCTCTAGCCTCCCCGCGGGAGGTTATCCGCGTGCGCGACACGTGACTCGCGGCCGACACCCGGCGTGCCGTCCCGCCGCGACAGAATTCCCCGGTGCGGGCCAAAAAGGCGCCCGCTCGAACCACGGCGCACGGGGCGCCCGTTCAACGCTCCCCTCCGAGGTCGCAATAACCGATACCCGCCCGCTACGGTCGCCCGATAAGCTCACGGCCGTTCCCCGGGAGCTCCCGCGCTTGGCACCGCCGATCCGCTCGCGACACGAAATGGCCGGCTCCGACTCCCCCTTGGAGCGGATACCCGACGGCCCGAAACACTAACACGAACGCGGCGCGATGCCAGAGCGCGAGCTAACCCCCCTCGGAAGCACGCGGCCTTTACATCAAGAATTGTCCCTCGAGGGCCACCTCACCGGTACGCTCCCTGGATCCCACGGCGCGGTCCCGGTCGGCACTCTCCTCCTCGGCTCCTCGTCCTCGGCTCGTTACGGCCCGTGGTCAGCACCCGGATCGCCGCGCCGGCTCGATACGCGCTCCGATATTCGAGGTGATACGGGCGAGGATCCGCGAACGAAAGCGGAAGATCCTGCGCGAGCGGGTCGATCACCCGATCGCTCGTTACGACCGCGAAAAGGGGCTGCGCGAGATAGCGGCGCCGCGGATCCGCCAATCAGTGGGCCGCTCGCCCGGCGTGTCGCCGGGCCCGCAGGGGCGCTATCGCTGTCCGCGCGCTTCTGGGTGCGAAATTCGCCCCGCGCGGCTCGCAGGGCCGGGGCGGTCGATCCTGGGCCCGCTCTCCGGCGCGTTGGTCCTCCGGCTCCGCCGATCCTCCTGACCCTCCGGGGGCCTCCGCCCGTGCTCGCCCCTCGATTTACGGTCCGGCCGGCGCCTCGTCTCTCGCCCCTCAGGCGCGGCTCCGCGTGTTCGGGCCCCAGGTCCCAGGGCGGCTCGGCTTCTCGGCGTTCGCCGCCCGTCGGCGCCTCTCGCCCTCGCCCCTCGACTCGCTCCTCGCTCTGGTTGGCCCCCTGGCTTCCCCGCGGCCGCCGCTCGCTGGCCTCCTCGCGCTCTCGCCCCTCAGCTCTCTCTCTCTCTCTCTCTTCACCCCTCGGCCTTGCCGTCCTTTGGTCCCCTCGCTGGTCAGGGCGGCTCGGTGACGCTCGATGGGCGCGATACAAAAATAAAAGAAATTTCGGGTAAGCGGGCAAGTAAAGAAAAAACGTGTAGTTAATTGCGACCCCGGGAGGTTTCCTTGCGCGGATCCTTTTTTCCCGGGCGGACCGACACCGCGCCTTGGGACGGCAGCGGGGAGCTGGCACGCGGCAGCTAATCCGCCACGTCACAAGGTATATCGCTGATTTCTTATCTTGATGTTCAAGGGACATTCGGTTCTGGTGTATAGGGTTCTATAGATGGATCGGGTCCTCTTCGGGGGAAATATGGTTATTGTTATTGTTATAGGCTCCTGTAGATAGCGTAATTCCATTCTCGTAAGAAAAGGCGGTGCGTCCAGGCGGCGGACACCAGCGCAGCGGCGTGTTCTGCCGGGAACGAGAGTTTCTTGGCAGGGGGTTACGATGGGAAGAGAGAGGGGGTGGTGGTTTATTATGGGGGGAAGGAGAGGGAAAGGGGAAGAGGGTGAAGAGGGGGAGCTGGGTTTGGGTTTAGACAACATCTGTACATAAGAAAGTGAGTCAGAAATGGAATTGAGGACTTCAAATGGGTTAGTAATGTGTGGTGAATAAGGGTGGTATATAGGGATGTAAGGGAGAGAGATCGGTTGTTACGACTTGAGAGAAGAGGAAAATCAGTATAATTATAACGAGGGTTAGGGTAGGGGGGCGAGTTCGAGGAGAGGGCTCCGGCAGATCGAGTGGCACCCGTTTGGCCACGTTAATATTGACCACAGTCCCGATTGACCACGTTAATATCGACCACGTTGTGTATGACCACGTTGATATTGACCACGTTGCAATTGACCACGGTCCCGATTAACCACGTTGCAATTGACCACGGTCTCGATTGACCACGTTGCAATTGACCACGGTCCCGTTTGACCACGTTGCAATTGACCACGGTCCCGTTTGACCACGTTGCAATTGATATATCCAGAGGGACGCCCTTGACGATTCCCACACGAGAGAGTTTGTGTGCTGGAATATATGCAATAATTTTTTGAGAGATCAACGATGGGTCCGATACAAGACGATTGGCAGCCGAGGCCGTCCTACACTGGGCTGAGATAAGGTTACGGCTAATCCCACTTACCTCGATAATGTCACGGGGGATAATTCCCACAATAATACGACTGGCCGTGAGAGGGTGGATGGGGGAATCCGTGCTCGTTCGCTTGATATGAACGATAAACGGGGGGGGAGCGTTGTACGGGTATTTAGAAGAGGATTTGGGACTGACGGTAGACGGGTTGTGGTAGTGGTAGAGGCGTTCGGGATATTAGAGGCAAGGAAAGGGGGGTTTCAACGGTGGGGGGAGTGATCACACTCGTGGTCCCTGACGGCGGCACCAACGAAGAGGGCGGCCCACGTGGTGTCTCGAAGAGAGGAAGCAGGTTAAGGAGAGCTGAAATGGGGTCTAGGGACTGAGCGTCGACAGGGGTAGGGGCGGGCGGGTCCACGCATATCTCCTCCTCGTCGCCAACGGATGGCGTCCGAGATGCGCCCGAGAGCTTTGCAGCAAGGGAAGTCGTACGGGACGAGCCCGTTGAACACAGAGAGTCACTTTTCTTAGCGCTCAGGTTGCATTTCCGCTTACGTTGCATCGTGCGCCACGCACGTTTCATACGCATATTCGTGGCAATTTTGGCGCGAAGGCGTTCGACCGTTTGATTGAGCGATCTATGATAGTCGCCAGGGGGGATGCGGCTACTAAGGATATTAGGTGTATCTAAAGGTTTAGAGGTGGGAGGATCCGGGCTGATAGAATTAATATTAGAGATAATGTCATTACGGGATTGCAAGTCCGTAGGAAGCGGAATGGGAGATGTTATGGGGGGAAGGTCCCCGAGACGCATGGCTGACGCAAGAGGCCGAGGCCTCTTGCACGCTGTTCAGATCCAATGAACGGCTGCAGCTGTCTAGGTTTTTCGAGCACTAAGACGCCGAAGGATAACACAACGGCGAGAGTGTTTAATAATTAGTCACTACGCGGTTACAAGCCACGAAGACAAAAGGTCTCAAGCACCAACCACTAGATGACAGCACGAGCACGTCCGTACCGGTCCGCTCTCGAGCGATGAATCCAGGCTCCTCCTAGCCTCTGCCATAGAAATATTTTGAGTGGCCGCAGGAGCCTGCATTTTTTCTAACTGAACCACCACTGGGCATTAATGAGACGTCGGGAGGTGATCCCCCTGCAATTAATGCAGCACAGGGGTCCCTCGCGTTCAGCGCACGCATTGCCCTGATGTTTATCCTCAGCACAATGGATGCATCTGGCCTTTCCTTTACAGGACCGGCTGACGTGTCCTACTCGGAAACAAGAGAAACAGATTTTTGTTTTAGGGATATAGGGAAAGACAGAATACCTAATATTGAATAAAAATATTGAATTGGGGAGGGTTTGACCGGAAAACTTAATTAAAATTGTACGGGAGGGTTCGTATTTATAATCACCGTTAACCTTGACTCTTCTGTTGAGCCTTCAGATATCCCTGATTTTGAATGGAAATTTGATGTTTTCCCTGATGGAGGGGAGATCTACATCCGAAGGAATGCCACGAATGGTGCCAGCCTTTAAAAGTCTATAAGCAGGAATGTAAGCAAAGAGGCCACGAGCCTCGAGAGACTTATCACTTACGATCTTGTTTGCATCGGCGCAGGAGTCCATCATGATGGCCACCTGGCCTTTACCAATGCGGGGAAATTTCGACCGTACCTTTCGGAAAGTAGGAAGTGACGATCCTGCTGATGTTAATGGGGTGCAAAGGGGGAGAGTTAGTATCTTTTATGTGAACGATGTAGGGAGGGGAGTCAGCGTTAGAGTATTTTTCAGGAGAATTTGGATTGTCCAGCTGTGGCAGGAGGAGCGGAGGAGGAGGAAGCAGAAGGAGGGGGCAGAGATCAGAGGAGAGAAAGATATAATAGGCGGGTTAGCCATTGAGGAGGGAGAAGAAGGGTCGATGGGTGTCTGGTGAGAGGAAGAGGACACGTCACGCATAACGCAATCCAATGAATTGTTACGTCGTGCTCTCCGCGGGGCGTCCACTATCTCAAGTCCTCTTTTATGGATGGATTATG